GAGAGAGGAAGCGATGCAGTGACGTGGAAAAACAGTGTAACCGTGATGTGTGTGGTAGTGGTGGGGGCAGTGCTAGCAATAGTTGCAATAGTTTCGGCAGCTGCAGCAGCAGCAGAAGGGGGAGGAGGAGGAGGACGACGACGACGGCGAGATGCTGCGGCTGGCTAGTGCTGCTGCTGCTGCTGCTGCTACTATGCTACTACTACTACTACTACTACTACTACTACTACTACTACTACTACTACTACTACGACTACTACTACTACTACTACTACTACTACTACTACTACTACTACTACTTCTAGGTGCTACTGCCACCACTCCTACTCCTACTCCGACTCCTACTCCTACTATTGCACTCCTACTACTGCATTGACCTGGCTTGAACTTTAAACCCGGACTACCCACCATCGCAAATCGACCATCGCTGTCCTCCGCAGCAGGTTCGCCACAGAAGAATGCCACGGTGCGGACCTGATCAAGCAAGAGCAAGCAGGAAGGTAGTCAGGCAAGGGCTCGAATTGCTTGAAGTCAAAGCCTTGTTATCTTCCTCCAGCTGCAGATACGACCCTGCAAGCACAACGGGGGCACCAGAGAGTTACAGAGGTCGCCAAGGAACAGAAAACGGAGCATAAACATGCTGCTGCCCAGCCGGTGATTTTCACGCAAAGCATGCGAACGAGAGATAGGCCAAAATAGGAAATCATGCACAAGCAGCGCAGCTGCTCCGCCCCTGCTCCGTCCGTGCACTTCCGGACTTTTCTGTGTCCAGTACACAGTAATATCAACGCCGAGTCCTCAGCCTGCCCATGCCTACCAATGCCCAACCTACACCGCCAAGCTCTACGGTCTGCGCGAGCTTCCCCCTCGAAAAAAATTAACCCGCCGCAACCTCTTGCTATGCCTTGGCAGATCACGCGAACCCTGACCTGTTGCATTAATAAACGACGGTAACACCTAGCAATGGTATTCTGCAAAATCGCTGTAACATGCCCACCAGCCTATTCTACATAAAACCTTTGATACACGTCCAGGCATACGAACTACTCCAACCTCCAACCGGTGAGAGGTCGGGTACAGGACCCACGCAGTTGACGGAATGAATGACCAGAAGCATGAGTTGACTCTCTCCGCGCGCAGGGCTTTCAGTGATCATGCTCCAGACTGAAGTTGAGACCCCAACGCAACTAGGCTTTCCATGAAGTTTCGGCAACAACCGTGGAACCCGAACTCAGGCAGTCGCAGCGTTACCGTGTCTGGGATGGGGTGCCAGGACAGACACGCCACAACCCAGCAACACAAAACCCTGCCACCAAGCCCTGAATCCCTTCAGCCAAGCTCCACACGGGAGTGCTCGTGGCTGAACATGCGAAAACCCAACCCTTAAACCCTAAAACCCCCTTTGAACCAGTACTGAGCCGGTGCGCGACCAAAAACCCCTTTTTTGCAGCAGGCCTCGTTGTCCAGCAGCCCGGTCCGACCTAAAACCCCTAAAGCCGCAACCCTGAACCCTGAAAACCAGTAAATCCCAAATCCCCCAAAACCCCTAAATACCCTAAAACCCCGAAATACGCTAAGTTCCCGCCAACATCCCCTAAACCTTGCAACCCCTAAACCCTAAACCTTGGGCCTCGATGGATTCCCGGGGCGGCCCATCAGGCGAGGCCTCGAAGGCGCAGTGGAAGGCGTGCTGGGCCAGCCTCCTGCTTTCGGGGCTTTCGGGTTTGGGGTTTAGGGCTTAAGGGTTCGAGGGTTTAGGGGTTTAGAGTTAGGGTATAGGGTTTAAGGATTTTTATTTAGGGCTTAAGGGTTCGAGGGTTTGGGGGTTTAGGGCTAGGGTATTTTTCCCTCTCGCATTGCTGTGGAGTCTGTGCCCGCTCCCGAGGTCTGACTTTGGGTTAGGGTATATAGGGTTAAGGGTTTAGGGATTAAGGATTAGGGCTTAAGGGTTTAGGGGGATTTTGGGCGATTAGGGCTTCAGGGCGGGTTAGGAGCTTAAGGGCTCTCAGGGGTTTTGTGGTTTTGGGTGTCAGTGCTTTGGGGCTTTGGGGTTTTGGGGTTTCTCAGTGTTTGGAGGGGTTTAGGGTTTTGGGGGGTGTAGTGTTTGGGGGTTTAACGGTGCTTAGGGGTTTAGGGGCGTTTTAGGGTGTCGGTGTTGTGCGCATTCGAACAAAGCCAGGCAAGGTTTTAGGGGGTTTGGGGTGTAGGGGGTTTCGGAGTTTTGGGCTTAGGGGCTGAGTGTTTCGGTGCTTTGGGGTTTAGGGCTTTGCCGCTTACGGGCGTCTAGGGGTTTAGAGGTTTTGGGGTTTGCGGATCTGGGGGTTTTGGTGCTGTCGTGGTTCGGATTCGGGTTTCGGGGCTTTCGGTTTCAGTTGATTTCGGGTTTTGGGGTCTGCGGGCTTTAGGCTTCTTTTTGTTTGCCTTCCGCCTGGCTTAAGGGTTTAGGGCCTGGGCGTTGTAGGATTTATCGGTTCTTGGGTTTCTGCGATTTAGGCGAGTTAGGGGTTTTGGTGGCTCGCGGTCTATGGTTTGGGGTTTAAAATAGCTTGGGAGTTCTGATTCAGGCTTTGGCGTTTGCGCCAGACCGGAAGGCATATGTCCACGCGTCGGTTTGGGTTTTTTGGGCTTCGGGGTGTGGGGTTTAAGAACTCATACGGTGATGTTTGTTTAGGGTTTAGGGATTGATTGGGGGTTGTTTCGGAGGAGGATGTCAACCTTTAGGGAGCAAGGATGTTGAAACACTCACTCGGACAAGCCAGAGGGGCCAATAAGACCTTTGCAGCCTTCCAAAGACCCCGCTGCCGCCGCTGCCTGTCAGAGTCATACTGCTTGAAGAGCACCACCTCATCTTTGACCATACCTTATACGAGCAAGGGTTCGGGATGCTTGCACATTGCGTTCGGTGTGCAAGCTTGCGGGAGCTTTGGGTGGGCAACTGCGACAATCACCGGCGATTCAGGCACATGCTCACCCCGGGCCACAGGCATCACGGATGCGGCAGTACTGCTTCTCTTTGTTACTAATTACTTCGTTGTCTACATGTGACCTAAGAGACATGTCTGGCCCACCATACTGGCGACGGCTCGGACCCGAACACACCGACAAACGACAACAGCCAGCAGCTCCACCACGACTAAGGAGCCCCAACCTCCAACGGCAACAGCCGGCCACCTCTTTCGAAGCTGCAGGAAGGAGCCAAACCATGCGGGGGGGCTATGTACTGCTATTCTTCTCGCTGCTGCTGCTGCCGGTGGCGGCGGACCCCCTTGTGTCTTACATGTTCTTGCATAGATTACTGGAAATGAACCCTATGGGCCTCAGACATCATCTAAACAAACATCATGGCAGGGGCACCGCTTACACCCAGGGAGTGCAGAGTCTGCCAACTATCAAATGCTCCGACTACCGCATCAGTGAGTTGGGGCTCAGGGTTACCTTTCCATCTCTGAGTCTATGATGTCGGAAGAATCCTGTGCGGTCCTTTTCTGCTTTCCCGCCGCTCTCAGCCATGGTGCTTTTCGTACGGGGAGAATTACATCAGCCACTGGTTCTTGAGCGAAGGGGTGGGCGAGCCCAACCCAAAAATCTCATGTACAACTCACTGCTGCGTGGACTGAATCTGGCATTTACCCACCTTGCCACCAGAAGCACAGTTGGCGCAGAAGCATGCAGACAGTCTGAGAGTGCATGGAAATCCTGCACGCTGTCGGTCCTACGCAGTGGGGCATTGGTCTCGCAGGTACGCTCCCCATGCAGAATTATTCGAAAGCGGCTTTGAACTTGTGAACTGACGTGAAGTCTGGCCGAGCCGAAACCCGCACGGTATCTGCTTCTGAGGTTTGGGTGTCCTTCCCCACACAAAGTTGCACCCGGAAACCCCTCGTTCTGACACAACTAGCACTAGTAGCAATGGCGGTACAAGTACTACTGCAGCAGCAGTGCCAGTACTAGTCTCACCAGCGGAGTACCAATGCGTAGTAGCAGCAGCAACGGCAGCAGCAATAGCATAGTGCCAAAAACATATTGGGGAAGTAGCAAGTAGCAGCAGCAGCAGCAGCAGCAGCAGCAGCAGCAGCAGCAGCAGCAGCAGACGTGTCGTGTCCCGCCTTGGGTTTCGTCTTACAGGCCAACACCCGAGAGCGTCTGCTTCACGAAAGCTGCCTGGCGCTCCTCACCAAAGGACTCAGAGAAAAACGCCACAGCGACCCAGTGGCCGGGCTGACAACGACACAGGCGGAGAGCACAAAGAAGACGATCACCACCAGCACCAACACTACGAAACACGAATGACAACAACAATGAGGACGCAGACGAGGAGCAAAAGGAGGAGGCGGAGGAGGAACACGACAACGACAACCACCACCTCCGCCGCCGCCATCGCCAGCACCATAACAACAACCACAACCGCAACAGCAACAGCCGCGACGACAACGACGACGACCACTTTCGCTTTGCGAGACAAAGACAAGATTGACAATGACAAAGATGTCTTCTTCGCTACCACTCAATGGTCATGATAGCATGCTGGTTTAACTATTGCTTCGTGTGCTGGCTTTCTGCTTGCCCAAACACTTATGCCGGGCTCTCTGAAAGCGTTCAGCACTCAGAGTGCCCCGGCACCTTCTGCCTGCAGAGAGGCTAATAGCAGCACACCGTCAGCGCCGGTCATCCCTACCAACTACTACCATATACCAGCATGCATCACCATCATCAGCAACATCATTGGCGCGTCTACCGTCCTACAGTCACTACAAGCAGGTGCTATCCATTCCTTTAATGACATCAGCTAGAACATGACTCGACGTGTTGCACTTGTCCGTGGCTCGTGCTGGGGGTTTGGGGTCTGCTGTCGGTCGACGCTCACGACGTTCCGAGTCTCTTCCAGGGTCACTTCAACTTGTTGGGCCATGGGCCCAGTGTCTAGAGTTCACGGACACTCTCTGTATCACCATGGTCTGCGATCAAACCGAGGCTATAAAAAAACCGCCTAGCACATCTTATTATAAGAGCCCGTAATCCCTACAGCCACGCAAGCTTTCCTTGATGGTGCTCTCAGCACCGTTGATCTGCTCCTTCATCTGGACCTCGGGAGGAAGGCCAATCATCCTAAAGCTGCACGCTTTGGTTAGGATCGCGCACTCAACAGGCTCGATCCTTGTGACTGTTTCACCCATGGAGAAAACGCAGGTTCTCTGTGACAGCTAGCACTGTTTGACCGGGCTGGCGTGGTTGTGAACATGGCCGTGCGGGGCGCTGGGATCCGGGATCATATTCATCTACATATTTGTATAGATATACACACACATATACAATAATATATATATATATATATATATATACCTATATTAACATACATATATTATGTATACTATACATATACATACATACGTATATGCAAGCATACACACACAGACACACAGAGCCACCTGCCAAGGCTCACAAGACTTCTCAGAAAAGCTGTTTGAACCCTCACGAAGAAACTGACAATCAGTGGGGTCTAGGGGATTTTTTCCCTCCTACCTAGCAAGGAGGATAGGAGTTAGGGTTTAGGCGTTGGTGTAGGATTTACTGCCCAACGCCCACTGCGGCCGACCTGCCTGCAGCTTTGCTCGGAACTCTGCAGCCTTCTTCTCCCGCGCAGTGCTCGCGGCGGTCATGGATGCCTGCGGAGTCGGGGGCTGCGGCTTTGGACATTGGATAACTCTGATAACTCTAGCGACTCGGACACTCCAGGCGAGGCAACTGAGACAAACGGTTCTTCTCCTACAACTCAAGTACATGCGGTGCTTTTCGCTTTCCTTGATGGCGGGTGTTTTGATTCGGCTCCTTGACTACTGATTCCCTCGATTAGAAAAGGAGGTGGAGGTTGCTACTGTTCCTAGCTATGTCTTGCTTCATTCTACAATGACCACTGTTGTCCATATCGGGGCGGTCATGGCTACTGTCCGGGCCGCGGCATTGCCATCGCTTGTCTCGTCTTCATTCGTCGTTTCCAGTTTCTGCCGACTGCACTGCCAATGTTCAGCATTGGCATGATTGCCGAAAAAGAGGTGCAGCTTGTTCACTGAGACGTCGAATTGAGTTGGTGACGTGTTGCATTGAGAGCTGCGGGGCGGCATCTGTTCTGACCTAGAAGAATTCAGTCGTACTACAACGAATGATAAGCTTCGTGGCATGAGCGCCTCGGCTAGCCACGTTAACCAGACATCTGAACACAGCTTTCTTCTTTTGTTCATGCATCCAAGGCCACACTCCTGACGGGAATGTTTGTGCTCTGCTGTTGAGGATGCACGACTTCTGCATTGAACACGCCCCAGCCCGCTTTCTTCCTCAGGGTTAAACCCTAGACCCTCAACCCGAACCCTGAACAGAATACCCTACTGCAGGGGTCTTAACAATTAGAGTGGGGATTAGGGGTATATGGTACTATACTTGAAATAAGGAAGCCCCAAAACCCTCATGATTGAGCCCATTACCCTTGAGCTGCCCTTGCGACACGCCTCAATAGCGGCCTCGGTCTTCTCTCGCGCCGCCGCGAGCTCCTTCGAGCCCCCGAGGCTTTGGAGTTAGGGTTTTTTTGAGCTCCTTTTTATGGCTGGAGTTTTTTCCCTCCTACCTAGCAAGGACGAAGCCCGCATTGCAGGGTAACTTGGTTGAACAGCAGAAAGGCTACCAGTTGTTAGCAGCCAATTACAACTATCGAACTGATCGAACTTGTTGTCATTCAGTTCCTCAGTTATTGTGTCTGCAGCTCCAAATCCTCATACCTCGGGGATGAGGACAGGCTGACTTTACTGTGTGGGTCACTTGTGTAAGCGTGACATTAAGAAAGCAGCACATCATCAAGAGAGCCACCGTCTTCGAAGAGCCCTGCATCCAACAAGCAGCAAATCGTAAAGAGAGCCACCGTCTGCAGGCGTGTACGCACTGTCTTCATCCACCGTATCCGTGTGGTGACAACTTACCGTGACCATGCACCATGCCCAAAATGACAGTCGTGGCTGGAGTTTTTTCCCTCTCGCATGGCTGGCATCAATGTCCACAGGCGAGGATTTCATGGGGAAGCAACGGTACTTGCACTAGCCCCTTTCCGGAAGGCACTGCATTCCAGCTGCTCATCTTAAATGAGCAGTCAAGCTGCCCCACCACGACTATCAGAATTTTGACGGTCGACAAAAGGCAGACTCCCTGACGGACTGTACACTATACAAACATCTCCTCTCAACAGATTCACTCCGAACCCAAGCTTTGTTGCACTGTCAGACGTCGCGCTATCATTTACATCCCCCAAAAACCATGACATGTTCTGTGCTTTGTGCTTCGGTGCTCTGTCCCATACGCAATCCCAGCAAACAACCGCAGCGCTGGAGTTAGGGGTTAGGGCTTAGGGTTTGGAACCCTAGAGCTTCATAGCAACCGTCGCAGTAGTCTGACAATACTCATACTTGGTATCAGAAATAGGACTATATGGGAGTTTCCGAAAATAGGGGAACCTAATGTTGCAACCTAAATAGTAAATAGTAGGATTCTTACTATAAGGACCCCAAAATAAGGTAGCCCCTAGTTTCGCAAACTCCCATGTAGCAGTAGCAAAAGCATAAAGAGAGTCCACGGGGGTTTCGACTCGCAGGCACACTTCGGGTTGTGACTTTCAGCTGGGGCCGACAATTTTGCCCACTTTCTGGAGGTTTAGGCATGATAGCCGAAGGGTTGAAGGCTTTACGGTGCCCTGCACCATCCAAAGTCGTGGGGAGGACTTCGGGGGCGTGCGCTCCGACTTTTGCTGACTCACTTTTGTGTAAATCCAGACGAGAAGGCAACCAGGTTGACCAATGCGATCTGCAATTCGCTCACATCGCACAACCTTCACGTGCTAACCGGTTTAGATATCTGACTTGGACTCCTTGGTGCTCGAAAATGCAAGGCGGAGATTCGGAGTTGAAAGAAATTACGACACAAAACCCTCAATCCCAAACTCCTTTAACTCAAGATGTGTCTTCTTGCAGGGCTATGAGCGGGGATGTTCCACGTAAACAAAATCTGTAATGATTCCAGAGCGTTGTCATCTGCTCCAGGCATAACGGTGTAACTCAAGACGGACCTCGGTAGGTCGGCGATCACTTGATGGATTCTGGATTAGATGCTGCCAGACCACTAGAACACACCTCCGATTTCGAGGACATGTATATGTATGTACGTATGTATGTATGTATGTGTATGTATATATATATATATATACATAATGTATAAATTACACTGCCTCATGCCTAGTCTCACATATCAAACTTCTAGTATCTAAAACCTAATGTAAATATCTGAACTAGCAAGAAAACATGACGCTTAATACACTACTGTACATATATATATATATATATATATATACATATACATATTATGTATGTATAATTAGTCTTCCGAATCCAAAACTCTAAAGTCTGAGCACTGAGCCCCAGTGCATGACAGAAACTGGCTCCTGCGCAGCCTTCTCCCGTGCCTCCTTGATCTCGGCGGTGTACTGCACCTGACACATACTGGCTGAACTTGCTTTCCCGCCATGCACGGACCGACAGCTCCAGGCAATTGGAACTCACAAAATCCGAAACCCAGACCCCTCAATCCCAAATCCTGAACCCCTGTAGGGTCCATCGGGCTAAGCGCGAGCAGTAGCGGCCTGCATCTCGTCAGCCTCTGCCAGCATGTCGGTGGCATCAGACAGGGTCTGCAGGAGCTTCGCGTTTCGCTCTTCCATCTCCTCCGACGTCAAGGAGTTTTTGTTTTTGGTGGGGAGAAGGGGCGGGGAAGGCAGTTGAGTAGGGAGCGTAGAATTTTGGTACTTATGGGGGAAGGTTTGCTGTTGGGGGTTTACGGCTTCACAGCACGGCAGAGCCAGATGAGGTCTCCCGGTTCGCAGTCGGACTCAGCTGGCCGAATCGTGGAAGGCTCGCGGTAAGTAACAGCGAAAGGCAAGGAGGTACACACCGCAAAGAACCGCCCTAAAGCTGGCATTTCAGCACTCACTCTCGGACATACCACATCATCATCCTTCAGAGCAATGCATCACAACCCGGAGAATGACAGCGTCAAGGACATTCCAGCGTGAGTTCCAGGCCCACGAGTTCCCGACGGCAGCATCCGTGTTTACACAGTCCGAAGTCGGAGCGAGCACTACGCACCAGCTACAAATTTCCAAATTCCCATAGCAGTCAATGTAGGTCGCTGAACCATTAGGCATAGACATTGCTACATACTTGAAAGGCTTCCTGCAAACTCTCAGAGGTTAGTGGTTTGGGGTGTTGTTTAGTTATAGACTGGGGGCACGTCTGATGAAGCATCCCTTTCAAGCAAGAGGTTGAAGGAAGCTGAAAGAAGCTTTTACCTCTCGCAGCAAGGTATAGGGTTTAGGGCATAGCTCAGATTTCAAGCGTGCAACACCGCCACAACTTCGAATTGAACCACAAGATCAATGCGCCCAAGCTCGTCGGCAACATATAAAGGAATGCCAGGCACAAAACCGTCGATATCATCGCATGATGCCGAAAAAACGACAGCAAAAGGTGCTGTGGGATTAAATTGGGTTCTCCTCCGAGACGGGTGCGTAGAAGAGCGCGTTGAGCACCGTCATCAGGAGCAGGAAGGAGCCCTAACACTCACCACCACAGGGCAGGGTGACATGCTTGCAGATCTTTGTCTTCATTGTCGTTCCCGCGGCAAACTGATACCCCTCAACGCGTTTCACGGCAATCGTACGTAAATCTCTACCACAAAATGCGTCAAGTAAATACTTTTGCTTCAGCATCCAAGACGTGTGTGTACATACACAAAGAGAAGCTGTAAACGGTTCATGTTTGTATGCATGACAACCTATAGTGGAAGATCGAGGGGTAGACGGAAGATACATGAGACAGACAGATAGACAGACAGACCCACAGGCAGAGACATAGATAGGTAGATGGATGGATTGTTAGGTAGATACATGGCTAGACATATTGAGGTGCATTCACGTGCTTCTAGCCGAGGTGCCGCCACGAATGGGAGCGTCAACCCGAAGTCGAACATGCCACCGGCATGAGCGGGAGCGGGCATGGACCTTGTCGGGGACTGGTTTCGGCTTCTCTGTGCCATTTGGATCTTTGCGGGGAATCGCATAGGGCGCTTGGCGCGATTTGGTTTTTTGGGATTTGGAGGGGCTCTACAAGTACAGTACAGACCTGGGGTTCTGGTGACAATTTGACGGTTTCTGGGGATGTGTCTGGGGACTACTATGGAGTTCTGGCGACCATCTGGGTGTTTGGAGGTTCCTGCAGCGGATGAATGGTGATTACTACCGTCAGGCCATAAGACTGCTCGCTAAGCAGGAGCGAGTGGCGCAACCAAGGCCGCGCCAGCCACGAGCTGCTGGGTCTTCTCGGGCACAGACGGCCGGAGACCTTGGAACGAATGTCAGCACACTCCGGTCCATTCCATAGATTGCGTCTCGAAAACCGGATGGCTGCAGGAACCACATGTCTGGCTGTTTGTTAGCATGCATGTAACGTGAATTATATATTGCTGTGCTCCGCTCATTGAGCAGCCAAGGTGTAGCAAAGCTTTCAGCAAAGCTTTGAGAAGCTCCCGCCTGGCATCAGGAAGGCCGGACTGCAGGCCGCCACAGCCAGGGCCAGGACGACGAGGAGTGGCGAACGACGGGTGTTTGGGGCCATGGCTGCGGGGGCGGAGTAGAAAATGGGACCTTCCTTTTAGGGCACGGGAGCCGAGCACGCTGCGCGGGCGGCGTGGGGTTTACGAAGACCACACACTCTGCTTGGCGGCACAACTGCTACAGTTGCGCTGCATTTGCGACTCGCCCCGGAATCGTGGCAAAGGCAAGCACATGCAGCCTCGCCAAGGTGCATGGCCAGTAGAGCCAGCGGTGCTGTGGCGAGAAGGTGATCTGCAGCGACTCCGAAACAAAGCCTGGGTAGAGGAGGTCCACCAGCACGACATCGTCCTGTCGCTGCAGCCCGGCAATGCAGCCGACACTGAAAACATCGTGCCAGACTCAGTAGCTAGAGCACTCAGAACATCGGCCCATCGAATCCCCACACAAGCTACAGTCCCTCGAGCTTCCCGTCGCCTCGCACACCGTCGTGGCATCCAGCAATGCCAGTGGGTGAGTCACGACGGGTGAAGAATCACCTGGACATGGCACGAGTGTCTGAGCGCAGCTGCAGCTGTGAATGCGGCCTCCGCAGGAGGTTCCGAAGAGCATCTAACAGCAGAACGACACAGAACCCAGGTTCCCACTGGATTCCCAAACTTGGTCGAGAAGCTGATGCTTCGCCAGGCGTTGACCAAAGCAAACCGACTGCCGGCACAGCGCTTGACCATCTCTTCATCCTCAACGGAGCACAAAGCCTGGCGCGCAGCGCCGACCTCACCGTAGCTGCCAGAGCTTTACTTGTTGTTTCCATCCAAGGCACCCTATAGACTGCGAGCAAATAGGACCGGACCGCGTGTTCTTGCAACTAAAACCCCAGGGCCCAGGGATTACGTCACTTTCCCATTAACACATCTGAGACGCCGCTGTCGCGGTCGTGTAGTCAGCATGGGCATTCCTGTGAAGGATCTGACAACTAGAAGCATATGAAGCACAACAAGGACATATAGGCCCCTGATAGCAATTCTCATGCAAACATTCGGCAAGGATCCTTGCATACCCGCCGACGCCACCGTTGCCATTATCGAAGCCGGAGAGTTTGCTGGCATCTCCACCGACCAGCTGCAGGGCCAGATTTTCGTTGCGGACAATGTGGTGGAATGCAATAACTTGATCCGCACCTGCAGGCAGCATCTCTCTTACACAAAGGACACAGTCGCACGGTTCCTGCTGTCTGAACCCAAGACAAGTCGGAATACCGGTGGCAAGACCCTGCTAGCACAGCACTGGGTTGGACCTGGGCCTCCGGCATTGGGATTAAAGACTTAGTCCACGTTGCTCCAACAGAAGGCATCGGAAATCAACCGAAGGCAACACATGTCGGCCTGTCGCTGATTTCACGACTTCACACATCTCTTTGTAGTACTCATCGACGATTCTTTGCTCGTCGTAGAAATCCTTCAGCTAGAGGCTAGAGTTGTGAACCACCAGAACCCAAAAAGCCGGTGAGCGATGCGGCATTCGTCGTGCTTGCCACAAGCAAAACAGCAAAAAGACTTCTGCTCTCATTCTTCCCATTGGTAATTCAAAGAATAGGTGTAACGCTGCTGCTGGCAACGTGCCTGTGGTAGAGTGCTAGCAGTTGTGATCAGCGTTGTCGCGGCAGCAGTAGCAGCTGCAGTACTTCTGCTTCTACTGTTTTGCCGTTGCCGTGACAACTCTCAACGTACTCCAAGGCTTCTTGTGGCTGCGAGCGCTTGCTGATCAGAGGGGCAATCTAGCCGACCCGAGGCAGCTTCTTGGCACACGATGACCATCATGAGTACAAGCAGGATAGCAATGGGAATCAGATCACCATGGACACGGCCACCTCTACAATCATGACTCCTGTAGCTGTAGCTGTTAACATATCCATGAACGTCAGCCCGTCACCATTTCCATCGCCATAAACACCCTGGTCATCGTCAGTGTCGCCCTCGCCGGAATCACGACTCTCGGGGCCACCAGCATATCATGTCATCCTCATCATCATCATCGTCGTCACCATCCTGTTCATCATCGGTGAACAGAGGTCTTCTCAGAACTCCAGAAGAGCTGATGATGCTCGTCGAGGTGGTGGGGCTGCTGGTGCTGGTGCTGGTGCCGGTGCGGGTGCTGATGCTGGTGCTGGTGATAGCAATGCTCATGACCTCGGTTTCTGTTGCTCGTGCTGCATTTTGCACTCCGCGAATCCAGCTTCTCCTGCTCACTGCCTTGGGCATGTGACCAAGCACAGAGGACCAGAGTAGCAAGCCAGCAAAGCCCCTCTTCTTAGAAGATCTCTACTCAGCACACCCTTCTTGGAAATGCTCCATGGCCCAAGCTCGAAACTCGGCAGCATCGGTGAGAACAAGGCTGGACTCCTCAATGGTAACTCTTTCACAACAGGAGCACGACAGCTGCAGCTCTTGCAAGCCTTCCGGCAGGTTCCTCCCAAGAGCAGCCAGACCAGGATCTCCAATCTGGCAGTGCCCCAACTGCAGCCGAAGGGAGTGGAGCGCTGTCAGCCCCTCCAACCCTTTCGAGAGGCCCTGGAGGCCCGCATCACCAACTTTCTCACAGACGGTCATGTCCAAATCCAAGATTCGCAGGCGCTTCGGCAAGCTCTTCCCGATTTCAGCCAAGCCGGCGTCACAGAGATTTGCACAGAACCTCAACACGAGCCTCAGGCCTGAAAGCATCGCCAGATCCGACAATCCTTTCGCCAGTCCAAGAAATCCAGGAAGCCCAATCTTCGTGTTGTTGAAGAGACGTAGATCCAGAGCCTCCAGCTTGCCTGGAAGATCAGCACCCAAAGCAACGAGCCCAGCATCGCCAATTTGAGGACAGTCGGAGAAGTCGAGACTAAGTTCCCGGAGCCCCGGCGGGAGGCCCTGTGCGAGGGCCTGTACCCCAGCATCGCCCAGCTTGGGCAACGGGAAGCAGCCCAGGCGCAGCTGCTGAAGCCCTGTCGGCAAGTGACGTGCCAAGGTTGAGAGCCCGGTGTCGCCGATGCCGCACTTCTGCATGTCAAGGTCCAGGCGCAGCAAGGACGGGGACAGCGCCGCCGCCAAAGCAGCCAGCCCGTCATCGGTGATCGTCTCCGAGAAGCTCCAGGACAACACCAGCTCTTGCAGCATTGCCAAGCTTGACAGCCCGACTGCAAGACCCACCAACCCATCGTCTGTGAGGCTCTCACATGAGTAGAGACAAAGCTCCAAATGCCGCAAACTGTGTGGAAGAGCCGAAACGAGCCTCCTCACTCCGACATCTCCCACCCTCTTGCATTGCGTGAAGTGGAGCTGCACATGTTGGAGCTCACCTGGTAACCTGGCGCCCAAAACAGCCAAGCCCTCGTCACCAATGGAGTGACATGCCTTAAACTTCAGCTCTAGGCCCTGCAAAGTACTGGGCAATGCTGAACTCAGCATATCAAGATGCGAGTCCTCGATCGCTTCGGACTTCCAGCCAAGCTTCAATTCTCGTAGCACGCGTTGACAACAGCGAAGGGCAAGACAAAGGCAAGGCACGGCCGGCAGCGGCACACGTTGCTCCACCAGCTGCAGGCTTCTGTCCAAAACCTCGGAGGCAGTCTCCCCGTCTCCTTCGACGCTGTCTAGCCTTAACCTTGGCTCACAGGCAGCTTCTGCCGCGATGGCTGGCTCAGCTGCCACCGGCCACTCACCGCCGAAGGCAGAAGCCGGGGGAACAGCAACGTTGACCTCATGACACTTGGCGGCCCAAGCACGGAATAAAGAGGGATCACTGAACATCTCGTCCTCCTTTCCCATAGACATCTTCCGGCAGAACTCCATGTTCATGCTCAAACGTTGCAGCGTGGGGGGCAGTCCAGCACCAAACGCAGCAAGCCCGGCATCGCTGAATTTCGCGACAGCGAAGTCGAGTCTCAACTCCTCTAATGCCAGCATGGAAAGTGCTGAGCCAAGGGCAGCCAGCCCACTATCTTCAAGCTCCAAGCAGAAGCCGAAGTCCAGCTGCAAGCGTTTTAGTCTCGGCCTGGGCAAGCCTCCGGCCAAAGCGGCGAGCCCGGCAGAACTGATGCGAGAGGCGCCGTTGCAGTGAATGCACAACTCTGTCACATTTTCTGGCAATCTGTGCGCCAGGGCGGCCAGCCCGGCATCCGAAATGTTGCACGAAAGGTTGGCAAAGTTCAGCCGCAAGAACAGCAGAGAGTTTGGCAATGCCACTGACAAGGAGACCAAGCCAGCGTCACCCAAGTTCAAGCAGTTCCGCATTGAAATCTGGAAATGCTCCAACTGCTCGAGCTTCTTGAGGCCGGCTGCAATTCCTGCCAAACCTCCATCGCCGATGTCGCAGTACCTGAATTCCAGATCCAGGAATCGGAGCTCGCTCGGGAGGCAAGCTGCCAGACGGGCAGCACCAGCATCCCCAAGTCCGGTGCTAGTGAGGTCGAGCTTCAACTGCCGCAGCGACGGCGGAAGTCCCTCTCCTAAGGCGGCGACCCCGGTGTCGCCAATCTTGCGGCAGTAGAGAAAGTTCAGTTCCAAGTCCTGAAGCTCTGAAGGCCACCTTGACCCAAGAACAGCCAAATCCTCGTCTGAAAGGCTCGTGCAACTCCGAAAATCAACGTGAAGATGCCGCGTGGAAGCAGGAAAGCCAGCGGCCAAGCCAGCAAAGCCCTTCGCAGTCAACTTCTCGCAGCCACTGAAGTCCATCTGCAGCCGTCGCAGAGACTCGGGAAAGCACAATCCCAAGTCTGCGAGATGCACATCGCTGGGCGACATGTGCGTCAAGTCCAGCTTCAACTCCGAACAGCTCTTATCTGCACGAAGAGCTTCGTGGAAGGACAACTCTCGGACCTGTCCCTTAAGCAGTGCCTGCTCCAGGCCGGCTCTTGCAAAGATGCCGCCCAAAGATGTGTTGACGGTATCGTAGTTCACATGCTGACTGTCAGGCTCAGAGTCTAAGTCACTCTTCTGCACGATGCTGTTTAGAATGCGCCTGCGATCCTCCTCTTTAGAGGCCTGAGCCTCATGAAGCTTGGGCTGTAGGCCCCTACTCAAGACCTCGAGCGTGAAAGCTCGCTGCCTGTAGAGCTGCAAGCGCTTTGCCAAGTTCGCACCCACGCCGCCTTCTTTCGGAGGGCCTTTTGAAGGTCCTTCATGTTGGTTCAGTGCACTCTCAAGCTGCTGCTCGGCCACTGTAAGACCATCTGTAAGCAGGGCTGCGGCTTCAATTCCGGGGATCTTCGTCGCAATGTCGAGGAGTAGATGCTGATGTCCGTTCCTCCTGTCACTCAGAGCAGTGTAAGCTTCAAAGGCACACCACAGACGAGTGAAAGGGGTGGCATTGGTGTCCAAGATGATAAGCATGCCTTCCACCAGCTGCAGCGCTTTGAAGAAACTTGATGCTTTCGGATCCGAGGAAAGCTCTGCCTCCAGGGAATGTTGCCTGTTGGCATATGCGCAAACCCAATACGCCCAAGCAGACTCTTCAGCGTCAGCCCGCATGGGCGCGTTGAAGCAGCGCAGTTCTTGATGCTGAGAGACACATCGGATGAAGTCTCGCACGGGTTCCCCCCACCAATGGCTGCAGAACCATTGTGGCCGCTGATCACCTCTGGCTACCAACTCCACCCAAGCACAATCTTCGGTGTTTGTAGCTGGCATGATGAGCCAGGTGCTTACATGGTAAAGGTTGGCGGTGGCTGGGTCAACACGTTGCTTCGATCGCACATCAAACCATTCCCACTCTTCAGCATGCTGTGTGACGAAGCCTTCGACCACCCGAAGTTGCTCAAGCGTGATGCCCCGAAGCTCCGTCCTTCGAATTTCACAGCACCTTGCAAACCTTGCCAGCAGGCGCATGTAGCCTTCAAACCGGTCAGCTGTCATATCCAGCTCTGCCCTGATCTTCAAGGCTCGCGCCTTTGCCGGCTCTGATCCGAAGGCAGGGGCCGGGTCTGTTGGGGTCAAGATCTCACCGGTAGTCTGCAGCTTCTTGTCGGGACTGTCAAAAATCCAAGACACGAGGCCTTTGCATGTGAGTCCCTGCGGGCCGGCGGTTTCGAATGCCTGCATCGCACAGTCGATGCTCGACTCCGTAACCTTTAACTTCCGCAGCAGGTCTCTGACATCCTGGGGTGGCACTGGACCTTCACCAAAGTGGTTCTGCAACTTTTCCAGCACAGCATGCTCCATTCTCGCCAGATAAGGGCTGTCGGTTGGCTGAAATCAGGATCTGGGCCAAAATGGCTCCCCGAAGACAACACCTTCCGGACCTTCCGGGCCAACAGTACTAGCGCTTGCCCGTCACAAGCCGGCCTCGCCGACAGCAAATTCTTGGGTGCGCAGCGCAAACTGCACATGCGCAACAAAAGCTAAACACCTCGGCCTGCGCTTAAAGTGTGCCTGCCTACAATGCTTCGAGAACAGCACCCAGTTCCCGGGCACAGTCCTGCTGCCTCAAGGCAGTTTCCTGACGTCGAAGAACAGCACCCTCGCGATCCTGGTTTGCGATGAGGGTGGCAAGTGTTGGTGCGGCTGTTGATGCTACCGTCGTGGAATTTTTCCCTGCTGCTTCAGATGACGACTGTCCTCGCCCTCGCTTTTTGCAGAATTGAGGAGCCGACGAGGCTGGGCTGCTCCCGCCGCGCATCGCAAACGAAGCGGGCCTGCCCCAACCCCTTGGTCTCACCCTAGCCTCGGCAAACCTGTGGTGCTCGTCTCGTCCGAAGGATCTGCAAGGCCTGCCTGGGGTGCATACTGTACCGGCTCCCCGAAGCCTGGCGACCAGGGCTGTGAGGCTTGCTTCGAGCCTTGTTTCCAGCTGGGAGACACGGAGAAAACGAAGCACCCCCAGATCCTGTATGCTTACGTACTTACAGGCCCTACGAAAGATTCGAAAACGTCGGAAGAATGAAAATCTGTCCGCTTGGTGATTGTGGTGGACGAGAAGGTACTAACGTTTTGTCATGAACTTGGTCTGGAGACCACACTTCTGGATTGTAACCCCAGCCCCGAACTCCAGAAGCACCCTTCAGCCGAAATTTTAGGGTTTAGGGTTTAGGGTTTAGGGTTTAGGGTTTAGGGTTTAGGGTTTAGGGTTTAGGGTTTAGGGTTTAAGGTTTAGGGTTTAGGGTTTAGGGTTTAAGGTTTAGGGTTTAGGGTTTAGGGTTTAACATAAACTCAAAATAAACAGAAGACGAAATCGACCGGCCTGGCGACGAGGCACTAGCCGCACCCATCGCCAGGTACGGCCGGGCTCCATGTCCAGGTGCCTGGAAGACTGAAGTTCAGAGTCTACTTTGTGGGCCCTAGAAATTTCAATGGGCTTTGGGGTGCATGTGCTTTATGATGGCTTTAATATGGAGCTCTTAAGGAATCATGCGAGTAATCATCTAAGCTTTCTGCATTAGAGCCAAAGTCCTTGAGATGCAGGTAGATTGCAGAATATATAGGTTGACAGAGCGTGAAAAGCTGTAGGACTTTGGCCCCGTCCTTACAGAAACCTTGTACAAACCATGCAGTCCCCTCATAATATGCGGCCCCCCAAAAAAACTAAATGCACTACATACTAGCATCCTTATGCTGCAGGGAGCCCTAAAGACATACCTCTGTTTTAAGAAACTCCCACGGGAACAACACCGTGGTTGGATTGGTGCCCTCCGTCCGTCCACCCACACACCTGAAGGTAGTTGATCTGGGCATCCACCCCATCGCTGCACTTGATCCTCCTGTGAAACTGCCGCTATTGCCCGTGCGTGCACAAATAGCAACATAATGCACACATCAGCGCCCCTCCTGCCGGAGCCTGGTTGCGGCAAAAGACCGGCTGCTGCAATCAGAACGCAGGAGAGTCCTTGCTGCTTTTTGGGCGCGATTCGCAATGGCACAGTTCATGGCATGGCAGACGTCCATGCAGACGGCGCTGCTCCGATTGCAAGAGTCCAGGATTCAAGCTTGCGCTCTGTCCTGCTACAGTATCACCAGGCACAACACCCGCTGGTCTGTTACGAAGGAGTGTTGTACCCCAGTGTCTGGCTTGCTCTGGCCGTGCGCTTGATATCTGGCTGTTTCTGGGTCGCCCTGCCAACTGCAACCGGAGTGCCACCGACCTGACAGGTCTTTTGAACAGCGATGAGGGGGCTCTGCGATGCAGGCAGTGGGATATTCTAGCCTAAGGCCTTCTTCCTCTCCCAATTCCTGATTGTTTATGTAAATAAATGACTGAAATCGTACTTTCGCCAAAGCCTGTGCATGTTCTGCGGAGTCATGGTCTTTCCGCAACCATGTGGTGGGGACTCTTTCACTGCTTTTTGGCTTGCACAGCTGCGTCTTCTCGTCTTTGGCCTTGCTTTCGTCTTCCGCATCTATCCGTAGCGCGCCTGGGCGCTGGCAAGCTGAAAGCTTGCAGCTCGCCAACTCCTTTCACATGTTGTGCGCGGCTCTCAGCAAGCCCTACTCGGACATGCATACACAGCTTACGGTATCGAGCGCTGGTAGTGACATGGTCAGCTCAACTACCATGCCACTATGTTTGGCAAGAATATGGCACGAAGCCAGTCTCTAGACTGGTACATTCGGGTCATGCAAGCATGCGACGATCCGAATCGAAGGCTCTCACAGACACTTGCTCCTGGCGAGCAGCGTCACCGTGGCACCATTCATAGCCTCACCTGCGCGGCTGTCCGGCGGAAAACACCCGAGGCCGAACCAATGCTCCATCGAAGCGGGTGCAGATCGGGTGAAGACGGCATGGCCAAGCTGATTATTTGGAGTGCAGTTTCATGTCGGGCTCGTGCGAAAAGACGAGCCTGCGGCTTCCTCGAAGGGCTCATCTTGAAGCTTAGCGAGAAGACTGGATAGGGGCCTGCTTAGGCTTTTAGTACAAGGATGCATTGCCGGATCCTTCATCAGAGGCCACAGGCGACTGCCCTGGCGAAGTGCGAAGCCTCCATTAATTACTCGTCAATGAGCTGCGCTTGCTCGGACACGCCCCGCGGCGCAGAAGGCAGTTCTGCTCCCGCACGCCCCGACGACATGAAAGTCTGAAAGACTCGGGGCCTTTGAGCAACGAATCGGTCGCGGGGTAGAAGGTTTAGGGCTTAGGATTCCTACAGTATCACCTAATACGGGGCCTCTCAGAAGAAGACGATGTGAACAGCTGAACACCTTCTGGAAGCCCGGTGCTTCCTCGCAGTTCTGTGCAACGCAGAGTGCGAATAGCGGAGACCCAAGCCGGAGCGAGTCGCCCCCCCCTCTACCTGGTGGCCTTAGGAATCTTAGGGAGCTGAGGGAGTTTACGGCTATTCGAGTGTAGGGAGATTTTCAGGGGAGTTTACGGAGTTTAGGGGTTTAGAGCTAGGGCTTCAAGTCTCTGAGGTGCTGCTGCTCGCAGGTCGAGGGAAGGTATCCTGGTGCAAGGAAAGGAAAGTCTGACCAGCCGATGCAAGTCACTTCGAAGGGGCCCTCCACAGGCAGCTAACTTCGAAAGGAAAACTGTCGGCTCTTTTCCGGAAGCTAGAGAGGTGAGCCAGCTTTTGAATCTCTAAAAGGCTTCTGAAGCATCAATGCATACTCGGATTTTTTGCAGGGATACAGGGGACAGCAAGCTCGAAAGCTGGCTCGAGAATCTAAGGCTTGACATGTTCCATGTAGCCCTCCCGACTGTTGGTGGAAGACGGAGCTGTACACCCTAGGATGCGGCGCTGCTTCCTTCATTGCAAAAAGCGAAGGCCACTAGAGGTCTTTGCACCATCACAAATTCAATGGCCCAAGCGTCGCAGCCCCGGCTGGACATCATCATCATCGAGAAGCAGGAGCTAATCATCGACTACTAATCAGCGACCTCACCCTCACGGAATGCAGATACGATAGCTTCGTCCCGCGCGCCCAAGACACCAATTCCTTGCTGGGGCGATGGGACCCAAACGAATCGCACAGGCTGGCACCAAAGTGGACACGGTGCTTCTTTCCTGTTACTTTCGAACCTCGAAGACCGCATTTGCCCTGACACCTCAGCCTGCCCATTTATTGAACACCTGCCGGTCCCTAATAACAAAAACACTTTATGTCAAAACCTATCTTGAAGTAGGGAATCAGTAGGGCGGTGCAAGAGCAAGAGCAGGAGTTACTCTGGGAGCAAGAGTCGGAGTAAGAGCAAGAGCCGCAGCAGGAGCTGGAGCAGCAAGATCCTCCCCAATAGGACAGTCGTCAAAACACCCCCTAATAATCAAAGCTCGTTTCGAATCTTGATTGGGGGCGGCCTCCCCGGTTTAATATTAAGGGGAAGGGACGGAAGGGACTGTAACATATCATAACATATCCCAAAACCCTATTATTTTCTGGTCATGAGAGCCCCTTCTTGCTTTTCTCGCCAAGCTTCGCAGACCCCGGCCGAGGCGACTGAGCCAGTTCCGTCGCTGCGTGCGTGGCGTGCTCGGCGTGGTTGGGATGGATTTCCCGAAGCCGCTCCCAAAGCCTGCATTTCAACATCCCAGCGAATTGGCTGGAAAGTTTCACGAGTACCCCGGAACTCCCCCCCGTGCCGTCCTCTCGGCCCTACACCCTCATCCCTGAACCGCAACATAGACCCCAATCGGCATAAACCTCAAGCCTTTCCGCGACGTCCCCTTCCATGGCCTTCTGTGCGCTGTGTGCGAGGACTGGGCAGCGCCAGGCCCATCGCCGGCGTGTCCTCTCGGGTCTTTTTTGTTTGAGCGCCTCTTTCTGTCCCCGCTCAACGTTGGTGGGAACCCGCCGAGAGGACTAGCGTTCAGGGTGTAGACCTCAGGAATGAGGAATGATAAAGATGACTAGTGTGTAGGTCGTAGCGGTTTAGGTTTTTGGCAGCACAATCACTCCGTAGCGGTTTAATTGAGGGTTTGGGTTTGGGAAGGTTTGGTTTCCGGCCGTGCAGAAAGGGCTTGTCTGCACTCTCTTTTCAACATTTGCCAAGACAAACCCACCCTAAATCTTTGGAATTCAGGCTCCAAAGTTCAGGGTTTACAAGCCAACGGTGGTTCGGAGCTTTCAGCTTAGTTTAGGGTCCCGACGCTCACAGTCGCATCGTTTAGGGTTTGGGTTGGGTACTGCCCCCATACAGTAACAGTCTATAATGGGGCTACAATTGAGGGCCTAATGAGCCTAATGTATCCATATTATAATATTATTCAACTGTTACTGAGTGGGGGCGGTGC